TGACTGTCCAATTGGCCAAAGTGCCCCCAAGGTAGAAGTAATGATCATGTCAAATAGGGGTTCATCCCTAGGAGCAATAATACTTGAATTTCCCATGTCCTAGATTTGCCCCTCATTCATTGAATCTAAATCCACAAGTCTCGTGTGTAAGTCCACTTCAACCTCATATCTTGGTGAGTTTATACAAGCATGTTGAGGTCGCCTTCTAGATGGATGATGTATTGCTCCAAAGAGAGAGAAAACATAAGGAGACTGTCATGCCTCCCCCTTTTTTTTTGTTTTTGTAGTAGTTTATGAAACCTACAAACAAAAGTAAAAGAAAAATAAACAAAGTCAGAATAATGTTAGAAGTCATCCCATAATTTTGCATGATTTAGTGCTTCAACAGTTGCTATATGGATTCACACATTGTTGATTTCCAATCCTTAAGGAGCCTCGAATGAAGCAAAATATCTTTGAACGTCTTGAGATTTCCATAGACTCCAAGGGCTATAGAAAAGACACTTACAAGTAGTTCAACATGCATTACAAAGATGGTCATTCATTACAAAGTAAAAGCCTAGTACATCACACTAAGTACATCAAGATGGTAGCATTCAATTCCCTAGTAAAATCTGACTCCTAGATCTTTCAAAGCACAATTGTCTAATGAGAAGTTCCATTCTTGTCCTTGATTGTTGGAGCAACATGAAGTGTGATGTGCTTGAGCTTTTGATCTTCGAGGCCGCTTTCGGTTCTTGACTTGGCAATTATCCACAATGGAGAAAATGCTTGCAATTGAAGATCTCCTGAATCCTTTGTTGGTCAAAGCTTTCTCCACGGATGAATATCGCAAAAGTGTCTTGATTGACGAAGAATCGCGCTTGACCATGTATGAACCCATATTTCAATTGTTGAAGGCAGAGAATCAAGCAAGATTATGGGAATGCAAGAAAAGAAATAAACATGGATGCTAAACAATAGATGAATGATGAAGGAACATGAATATGCTCTAAAGTGATAATGTATGTGGAGTTGTATCCTAAAGCATGCATTTTTCTTCATTGAATATGCCAAACAAGTCTCAAAGGAGAAGTTGATGATTCACTATTTCAACCATTAGGTTGGCATACTATTCCTTTGAAAAAGAGCCAATGCTATGAAGCTTGAAAAAAAAGTGAATGGTGTGATACTTGGAGAAAATGGATGATGTGATGCTCCAAAATCATGTGCTCAAATTATTTTGATGTCTAAAAGATGGATTTTTCATGAATTTATCTTTGAAGAACCTCCATTTCTTTTTCTTTTTGTTTTTTTTTTTTTTTAAATGTGAAATGCAGTGCAAAATGCATGTGAATGAAATTTTCATTTTCATTTTTATGCACTTGTTTTTGAACTATGAAATGGAAATAGTGATGGTTGAAATGAAATATGTGATGAAAAAGGGAATGTGAAATGAACATGGAAGAAATTTTCATTTTCATGCTCTTTTTTTTTTTTTTTCGTGA